AGATGATGGAAATCCGCCGCCACTCTTCTGATTCCTTGTCCGCGCAAGGCCGAAGCCTCATCCAGTATAGTTTTCGCTCTGTGACGACTATGTTAAAAGGCTTCTCGCCATCACAGAGCTTCACTTCTCCAACAAACATTCTTTTCTACTTTCAAGAAAACGCCTTGGACACGACAACATGTCGTGCGTCTGCCTCTCGGTTTTCAAAATGTCGCGACGTCAACTGAATGACTGGCATCTTCGCGAGCGTGTCGTCGAAACATCAATGAAGTCAGCAAATCATGTGGTACGATCGAAAAGGCATACCAAATGGGTCATGTCTCCGTCTGCCGGATTGTTTCCGGCATGTACTTTGCCATACTGAGATCCAACGTGCTCAGAAACCCCGCGATGGAGAACACACCGGGCTCAGAGCTTGGATAGATATGAAAGCAGTCCTTCTGCTTGAGAACCTTGTCTTCCTATTCCACACTCCAAATTGTTCCTTATTCAAATGAGCAGACCACCTACCTATGTCTGTGTCCGGATCGCGTCTGACTAAAGGCACTGGCTTCGTACACATGTCTTGGACCAACCTCCCCCAGTAATTCGAAAAGAAAGAAGAGCGACCCGATGTTCGAGAGAGCCAAGTAGGAAAGAACTTTATCATATGTATTCGTCTCCAAAACGGCAGGAAGACGACCCCATGCTTCTCTTTCCGTTCACCTCGTTACTTCACCATCTGTCACAAAAGTCCACATGGATACGGTATGATCTGAACTACCGCAACCTTCAGCTGGGTATAAAAGCTGTTCTTACGACCGACAACCTTCCCATTCCTATCACATTCTCCGGTTCTCAATCTCCAAAGATACCTCAAAGCCAAAGGATGTCTGCGCCTGATCGCGTCCTCCAAAAGTGGCTTTGAAAGTATGCATGGCGTTCGTCAGCTTCGGAAAGTATGCTTTGGTATCGCGGTCGCTCGCTGACGCGTCGAACCTGGATCCGAAAAGAGCGAGACCAAATGCCCATGTGTTTGTATAGGCAGGACCAAAAGAAATCGGTTTCCAGCGTTATGTGCTGCTGTGTTCTTCAAAACAGAGTACTCAACTCGCCATGTTCTGCCTCTTCTCTGGTCAGAGCGTTCTCATGCGACAAATCCGAAAGACTTACACGCTATGAAGAACGGTGTCATTTAGACAAGATGACAGCCTCATCGCCCTGGCGAGTATAAAAGCTCTTTTCCTGGCCGCCACCTTCTTTCTTCATATCCCACCCGTGGGCTTTCGATTTTCCAAAACAGTATCTCGTTATCGGGATGTCTGAGTTCTGTGTCTGCGCTGTATCCTCCAAAACTTCGACGAGATCGCCCGATGATCTGCGTCAATCCTGGCCCTTTCGTTACAAGAATCGGAGGTACACCTCGATGTCGATATGCGATGAAAAATGCCGCCACCACCACGTCATGGAGGGTGTCCAAAAAGCCAGATTTTGAACTTGCGATGTTTTGTCTCTTTCCCTGTGCGGCACTCCACTGCAAATACAGCCGGCCTCGCATCACGTCGTGCCAGCTGTGTCAATACTTCATCAACCCCTCCAGACATCGAAAACCAAAAGTCCATGATCATCGTCTTATGGCGGCACGATCACTAATCACTAATCACCCACCTACCCTTGTCTTCCTACTCACCCGCACCCGCACCCCCAGAAATCCTCTCAAAAACCGACCCACAAAAATCCCCTCCGATCCGAAGTTCTACCGCGGAGCTGCTCGGCGGCGATTTACGTACACGGTGCAATTGCAGCGAACCGGTGCTATCTCCAGGTGCAAGTACGCGATGGTTGGATCAAGGCGGTGAACGTGCGGCTCAGCGTCACATGAGGATGTGCGTCTTTCTCCGCTTGGAGCAAGCGGAGTCTCCAGTCTCCGCAATTTGTCGGTGGATGGTGCTGGTGTGGGTGTGGGTGGTCTGGGGAGGATGTTGCTGTGGGCGAGTGGGCGTTGCGTATGCGACATCGTACAGTATACATAGGCAGCGCGCGACTTGTTGAAACACTGTCTGCTACCGGCCATGCAAGCTGCGAATGCGAGAACGTCAGATACGCATGCGGCTCAAATCCCCAACCTAAACGCCGTCCCGTTGCCGTGTCCCCAGGCCGCCCTTCCCTTCCCTCGTCGGAGTGACGCATGCGCCTTCCCTTCGCTTCGCTTCGCCTCGGCATGCGTTAACGCGGCCGGCTGTCGGATCCTGCCAGCCCGTGCCCATCCAAATCCATTACACATTTACGCGACGTCGCCATCGGCATCTGAACAAGCCCCAGCGGCCAGCCAGAAGCCGAGTACCAGTACCGGGCGCAGTATGCAGTTGCGATCAAGCCCGCCTTCCGCGCAACCTCAGGTGCTTGGAGCTCTTGGTCATATTCAAGATGGCGGGCCAAGTGCTCGGCCTACTAATCAATTAACAATGTCGGGAGGGCTGGCTGATGAGATTGGATGGATGGTGAGGAGACCAGGCAGGGAGGACGGAGGCAGGACGGAGGAAAGAGCTAATGCGGGGAAAGACTTCTTTCGCAGGCACAAATCGCCGCTGGTTTCCATCGCCTCCATCGCTGCATGAGTCGTGCGCGCAGACTAATCAGAACACACGAGCTACCACCAGAAAAATTCGACAAATGACTGGGGCATCATGCACGTCGTCCTTAAGTGGTCGGGGTAGGATGGGCGGAGGATGCAACGGTATTTGGTTGACGGCGAACTACCTGCATGCTAGACAAGCCAAGCTCCGTATAGTGGGGTAAGGTTACCACAAAAATCCGGAGTAACCGCAAAGTCGGAGGAGCCGACTTGGTTTGTGTATATTAAGGAGGGGACCCCAGACTTCCTCTCATAGAACGTCTGTTTACCTCCGGTTTCTTGAACGTCGCGACAAGGAAGACTGCTCGGGAATTGGGACCGCTTGGAAAGACCTCTGGTAAAGATGGTGTCGACACAGTACCCAGCGGACGACAAGATCTCCGCCCACGATGCGGCGCAGATCTCCGAACACCATCACGCAGCGAAGGTAGGTGGACTTGCGGCGAATATGAGTCCAGAGAGGAGGGCGGAGGTGGAGAAGAAGTTGAAGAGGAAGCTGGATGCGAGATGTTCGCTTTTTGTGTTGATTTATATTATGAACTGTGAGTAGCACCCTCCCATATCATATGCGCAAAGAAGGGAACCATTACTAACGAGTGCATCCAGATCTCGACCGCAACAACATCGCCGCCGCCCGTCTGGGCGGTCTGGAAGAAGACCTCAACCTCAGCCCCACGCAATACAGCACATGTCTGTCTATTCTATACGTGGGATACATCTTAATGCAGGTCCCATCCAACATGATCATCAACAAGATTCCGCGTCCTTCGCTGTACATCGCCGTTGTTATGCTCATCTGGGGCATGATCTCTACTCTATCCGGAAACGTCACGAACTTCGCTGGCATGGTCGCAATCCGTTTCTTCATTGGCTTCGTGGAAGCTGCCTTCCTACCTGGCGCGCTGCTTATCCTTTCGAAATGGTACACGCGCCGTGAACTCACGCTGCGAAACGCGATCTTGTTCTGCGGAAACCTAATCTCGAACGCCTTCTCCTCGCTAGTCGGCGCCGCAGTACTGGGAAACATGGAAGGAACCCTCGGCCACCGAGCGTGGCGATGGCTGTACTGGATCGAAGGCGCAGCAACGATGCTCATCGCCATCTCCGCCATCTTCATCCTCCCCGATCTCCCGCACAACAGTAAAGGCTTCACCGAGGAAGAGCGCGCCGTCGCCGTCCTACGCATGACCGAGGATGTCGGCGAAGCAGATGAAGATTCGGCTGAGCAATCTGCTTTCGCGGGTTTCTTCATGGCGGTCAAGGATCTCAAGATCTATGTCATGATGCTCACGTTTACGGCATACGTAGTTGGACTGTCGTTCAACGCCTTCTTCCCTACGCTTACACGCACCCTGGGTTTCGGTTACATCACCACGCTTCTCATGTCCGCGCCGCCGTGGGCCTTCGCTTGCGTCGTCTCGCTCATCAACGCGTGGCACGCAGATCGACAACAAGAACGTTTCTGGCACATCGTCTGCCCGATCATGCTAGGCATCGTCGGATTCGTCATCTCGATGGCAACATCAAACACCGCAGGCCGCTACGTCGCCCTCTTCCTGCAAGCCTCCTCCTACGCCGGCTTCATCGTCTTCTACTCCTGGATCTCGTCCTCGTTCCCGCGTCCACCCGCCAAGCGCGCCGTCGCCATCGCCATGATCAACGCGTTCTCGCAGCTCGGCAACATTGCTGGGAGTTATGTGTGGAATATGTCGGATAATGGGTATAGGAACAGCTATGGGGTTGTTACGGCGATGTTTGGGGTTACGATTGCGGGGTGCTTTGTTTTCAGGGTTATTCTAGTGAGGTTGAATAAGCGGTTGGATGATGGGACGGATGCGTGGGTTGTGCATGGGGATGTGGCGGAGCAGACGGCGGCTGTGGAGGGGGTTAGTGTTGAGGAGGGGAGGAAGCAGATGGGTGATTTTAGGTATCTTGTTTAGAGTAATTGGAGAGGTAGGTGGTTGCAGATCTAATGAAAGACTTCCAAGGTTCTATTCACCTAGTCCACAGCTAGAGATGATGTCGGATCATGACTACCACTCCAATGCTGACGATGAAGCCGTGATTTTGCGCGTTATATCTCGACGTGTAGTCATCGAGCATCGCATTCACCTCTTCGCAGTACAAACATCACTTAATATGCGTCGAGATTGCCTCGCGCACGGACACGGTTCACTATTTTGCCCGTCGCGCAATGACGCAGGTCCAAAACAAAGATCTCAGCACTAGCTCCAACACAAGCTTCATCCCCCATCCCCACGGAGCCATCGCGCCCACCCCATCCCAGCCCTGCGCGCACAACCTCGAACTTTCTTTTTACCCATCTCCGTCACTCCCATCACCACCCCCTCTCTATTCACACCCCCAACCTCAACGCGACAGACAAATGGCACCACCGGCACTCATCGAGCGCACCGCGCCCGATGTCGTCCCAGCACCCAAACGCGCACCCGCGCGCTCGCGTCTGCCCACGGCGCTGCGCGTGCCCATTCTCATCAGCTTGAACATGGGCATCAACATGCTGCTGTGGGAGTTTACGGCGAATTTCCTGCGTCCGGAACTGGGTGCTGTGAGCAAGGTGCCGCAAGAGGACGATGTCACGTCGTTTTACTCGCCGGCGGCGCGCGTCGCGATGCGCTGGGTTACTGTGTGGATGACGTGGTATTTTAACTATGACTGTAAGACGCGCCGAAACCACAATATCGAGAGATGATGGCTAACAGCTTGTACAGTCTTCGACGTCTCCGCCCTCACCGTCCTCACCTACGCGCCCTTCACCTACCTCCTAACCACGTACTACGAAATCAGCGCCCTCACCGCCGCCGCCAACATCACCATCGAAGTCCTCTCCTTCGCCATACCCACCTACCTCCTCCGCCCCCGCTCCATCGTCCACCGCAACAACGAGCCCCTGCGCAACCGCTTCCTGCTCAACAGCATCCAAGTCCAGGTTTCGTCGTCGATGCTCGCCATCGCCGTGTACATTGTCGTGCTGTGGGCGGGTCAGACAAGCGGGTTCCTGAACACGTTCTTGGTCCAGTATTTCGATATTCCTACGCTGGAAGCGGCGCACAATGAGTCTCCGGTGTCGATTCTGGCGAAGACGGTTGTGGTGGGCTGGGCGGCGAAGGCGTTTTTGCTTAATCCGAGTTTTGCGGCTCAGCGCTCAGGAACTCAAACACCAGTTGAAGTTTTCGATCCGAGCACCGCGACTCTCCCTAAGACGATCGAGCACAACTTCTTCAACTACAGCAAAAGGACGAGGACGCTTATTCAGCAGACGGTTATTCTGAATGCGTTCTTGTTCGCGGGTACCGTTCAACGGTGTATGACGCTCATCGGTACTGATGTTGTCGGTGCTGTTGGATACGCGGGTGTGTGGGTTGCGGCGAATACGGTGGTTGCGCTGTGGTATGGTTGGGTTGGAGACACTAGCACGGATTACCAGCCGTTGTAGGGGGTGTGTGCGTAAGGAAGCCTGGTGTGGAGCCGATGTCAGTGTATTAGTATGCGAAAGAGTTTGAGTGGAAGGCTTAGCTGCATTCATGTCTTTTCGGAATGTCACGAAAGACGGGATACATGGAGGGTAGCCGTATCTACTGGGTTTATTTGGTTTATTCAGTGGAGGACACATGGGTGTGTCGGTGGCTCTATAGCTCATTTTGATACCAGTTATTTTACAGTTTTTTCGTTCCTCGAATCGTCTTGTCTCAGTCCGGCGATACTCTTTCGAGTATCTTCAAACACATCAAGCCACACCTGTCCAGTATGGGTCCTCCAAGTCGTGAAGCTTGCTCTCCAAGCGGTGGATCTTTTTCTCCTTTTGCTGTACCTGCCGCTTCAACCCCACAAGAGCCGCATCACACTCCTTGACCTTGATCCTCAGCTTCTTCAGCTCATTGACACTCTTCTGCCCCATCTTCTGAGTTATGCCGTGCTCTTGCAAATTGGCGATCTCGTCATTGCGTTCCTGCAGCTCTCGCGTGTACGCCTCGGTGACCTCGTTTACATCCAGGCCTACTTCTTCACTCTTCTTGGCCTCGACGAGTTGCTTCTCCAGCTTCGCGATGGTCTCCGAGTGTTCATGTACCTCCCACTTTAACCACCCGATGGTCTCATCTCGCTTCTTTACCTCCTTCTGCGACTTCTCATGATTGTCGCATTCTTCCTGGGCCTCGTCGAACCACCTATGGACTTGGCGTGTCGAGTCGCGAAGGAATCCTGTTAGCTCTTGAACCTTGGCGTTAAGCTCAGCAATGGTCTCGTCCTGCTCCTTGATCTTGTCTTCCGATCCTCCATTGACCTCCTCGTTGCCCTCGTAGTAGTCGCGAAGTTCTTTCAGCTCATCCTTCAACTCTTCCAGCTCTTCTTCCAGAGCCATGCGTGATGCAGAGGAGTTCCTTATAGCAGCACCATGGTCGCTGGTCGTAGTCGCGTAGGTGGCCTGAAGCCTCTCATGCTCACTGTTCAGTGTCTGGAACGCTTCGTCCTTGGCCTTGATCGCGACAGTGAGCTCGACGATGGTGAAACGCTGCTTGCTATCGACGGCGTCGTTGTGCCTTTTGAGACCATTGATGATGCCGTCTTGCTGCTTGACCTTGGCTTTCAGCCCTTCGATGAGGTTCTTGTCGCGGTTGAAGTTGTCGTTGAGCTCAACATGATCGTCCCGAAGCTCTGCTAGCTCAATCTTGGTCTCTTGAAGCTTGTCTCGCTGGTCGATGTGTGCCGCGTTCTTGACAGCGAGGTGGCTATTGAGCTCTTGAAGGTCGCCATTACGCTCCCGAAGATTCTTGATGACGTGGCGAAGGTCCTTGACGGCCTCGCGGAGATCTTTCGATCCTTCCCTGTGGTCGGCAATCGCGTCCTTTTGGTTGGCGACGGTGTCCTTAAGGTTGTTGATCTCGAGCTCTTGAAGGTGAAGGGCTGGATGCTGCGTTAGTGAGAGTGGGTTAGATGGTGGTGTCACGTACCCAAGTCCAGATCTACTTCGCTACGAGGAGTTTCTTGTACTCCAGAAGGCGGGTATACGGGTCGGCTAGCCATAGCGGCGGCAGATGATGTTGGAACAGGTAGAGTCAGATCAGTGAGTGGTAGCGGAGGCAGTCGCAGGCCAGCATGCGCAAGAGCTGCCTCTAAATTGAAGTTGAATGGCAGAGACATGGATAGAAAGCGACTTTAGTGGGAGAGCGAGCAAAAGCTGATAGATGTAAAGCTACTGAATTGGGAAGCTCGCGCGTACAAAGGTGGGAGCGTGAGACTGGTGTGGGCGGAGAAACAAACGCAGGTAAAGGCGGATATTGACTCCCACAGTGCGCCAAGCGAGGGGCTGACTAACACTCTTTCTCCTTCACTTTTGATCTTAGTATTTGAGAAGACATCAGGTTTTGGGTTTGCGATGCGCGAATGAAGAGGCAGTGAGGCGTAGACGTCGACGTGGAGGTGAAAGATGGCCACTAACGACGCCGTACATGGAGACGACAACGACTAACGGCAAACCTCAAAGAAGCTTTGGAACTAAGTGAACACTTCCGAGCTTACCCATGAATTTCATGAATTGTTCTCGCCGCATCTTCACCGCTTTCGTCTTGCGAAAGATTGTGATGACACCACCAATGGGACACCGACCTTTCCTGCTACCTGTAGATGTTTATCGATGGGGCAGCTCAGCGATTCAAGGAATCGGAGCATTTAGAGAAGATACGGGTGACTTCAGACACCGATAGATCGAAATGGCGTCGGTAAAGGAGGAAAGTGAGTGCCAAAGAGGTAAGTGCGAACGGCGACATCTTGAGACTGTCCAGATCGTGTGAATCTCGAACCCCGATAGCTGCCAGAGGCATACATTACCTTGACAGCTTACCTAGCCCCAGGATAGATCATAGTGTAGGCCTCAATGGAGATACAGGTAACGTCGCGACCGTCGCACTCACCTCTCAATGTAGTCCGGCAGTCGCTGCATCGTCTGGCATTCGCTCGCGCATCCTTGCATGATGATTTATCGTGAAACTGGTACCTTGGTGCATCAACCTCGCTGCGAAAGATGAAATGGTGTTCTCCGGACGTTGGTGCAGCTCTCTGGACACGCATCCTCGAACAATTGAAGTTCTAGCGTACTTGCCCCACGCGGCATCGTCACTGCCACAACTCAGCCATCAAAGCTCCACCCAAGCTCCCATCCTATGATCTACCTTCTCTCCACAAATCATCCAGGCATCCAGCCTTGCGCACAATTCTGCCTCACGGCCAAGCCCTGAGCCGCAAAAGTATGGCACAGTCTCACAACGCATCTTGAAAACATCGTCATGCCTGGTTAGGCGTACAGCTTTGTACCCCACACTGACATGTTCACTGCCACACACGCCGGGCCGTACAAGCTCCACCAAGCTTTGCCCCTCGGCACCTGATGTTCCGACCAAGACGCGCTCACATAATAAACGCGACGGCCCGTCAATAGGAGAAGATAGCTAAGACGGCCAATTACCCCTCCAAAGCTGTAGCTCTACCAATTTCCCCGCCATACCAAAATCAACGACAACGTTGTCATCTGCACCAGATAAACACCTTCTCCCCACTCAACACCACATCCCATCCCAACTTCCATAATGCCAATGTGGCAGGCTATCACGGACCCCGTCCTCGCCCTCTCAGGCGGTCTTGCAAACGAAGAACAAACTCGCCGCAAAGTAGCCCGTGAGATGGCGATCAAGAACGGAGAAGACCCGGATACGCTCGACAAGAAAGACCAAGGCCCTCGCAGAATAGGCCAATGGCTTTGGCTGAAACCGGAATGTGTGCAGGAATACAAGAAATGCCATGCAGAAGTGTGGCCCGAGGTGCTCGAGCAAATCAAAGATTCGAATATTAAGGACTGTACGTTTCCCTCCTCTTCCCCAACCTTTTGTTAATTCGTGACCCGGAAGATCGCTGACGCTCATTCCTCCAGACTCGATATACATGAACCTCTTCCCGCGCCCCATGCTCTTCGCGTCTTTCAAATACGTCGGCGAAAACTTTGATGAAGATATGGCGCGTATGGCGGAGAACAAGGTTGTGCAGAAGTGGTGGAAGATGACGGATAAGATGCAGGAGAGCCCTGTCAAGGGCGCGAAAGGTAGCGCGACGGGGCCCGGGTGGTGGGGGCAAACGGAGGAGGTGTTTTATGTCGAGTAGATAGGGAAAGAAGGAGTGCAGCAAGCAATAGAGGAAGCATGTGTACAAAGGTGAAAGTTATTAGGTACTAAAACAAGGTACCATCGTCTCTTCCTAGAGTCACGTGTCCCCTATATCCTGACCTTCCACAGTTCCTCTGGTAAAATGTTCTCCGAGCAACTAAGTACTCGCTGTCACACCACAACCGCTTTCTCGCCCGCCTCTTCGCCTCTATGTCTCCGCAGCGCAGGTCGCTTCAGCAAACGCTGCAATGTCTGGAGACAGGTGTCCAGTTAATACAGGCAGTTGCTAGGCCTATCTAGGCAGCAGCTAGGCTCAAAAGGGTAACATCCAAGCCCAATCCCCCCTCCAGCTTGTTTCTTGCCAACTATGCCTTCTCCCCGTGTGGATCTGCTAATACAAGGCTGTGAAACATTGACGTCGCGTATGCAAGCCATCGCCAGGCCTTACGGCGTGGCCGGCCACCTTCCGTTAGAGGCTGGGTGCAGGCACACGCGACGCGTCTGGACCCCGCTGCTGTCGATGCTTGCGATTTTAGGCATCGTGTACTAGGGATTATACGCGTTTGCTTGCTTCAAGGATCTTGCTAACTAGACTTTAAGGTTAAACTGACGAGGTAGTTATTCTGAGGGGTTGCAGATAGCAGTATCGCGTTATTGCGTCCTTGTGCATGCTAGCTAAGTTTACGTGACTATTACCGCTGGGAACAACAAACAGCAGCAAGTTCAAACGCACATTGGAAAGAGGTAGGTCACTCAAGCCTGTACCTGCGCGTTTCCATTGCTGTGGCATGTCGGATGGCAGGCGCCTTCAGCCACAAAATCCTCGCTACTTCACCAACCTGATACCTACATCCCCCCCACAATCAGATAACGGGTTCCTGTCACCCTGTCATCACGCACCAAGGTCACTACCAGCCATGGCGACCCGCAGCTCCATGCTATGTGCGGACACCACATCACACCCGTGGACAGTGCATGCCTAGGTACGAATCACCAATGAAGGAGAGCAGACTTCACCGCTCTTACTTGCCGCCTGTTCCAGGACTGCAACGGTGTGACATCTGACACGGGTGGCTGCGTGCGGACAGTGCAGCGGAGACGCCTGGTCTTCCATACACTACCTGGGTGATTCACCTGTGCAACATGGGCGGGGTTCCATGTTTGGTCGGGGTGCGAGGGGATCCCACGCTCCAGTACAAAATTGGAGTTTTTCCAGTTGCCAGATTCTCGTCAGTGTTAAGTTGATTGACTGACATCGAAGTTCAGCCCTCAGTAACAGAGCTCGTACTACTATTGCACCTTACTTGAAAGCAGCTTTGTTGATGCTCTTCTACCTTGTACATCGGGATCCTGAACAGACGATACCGGATCATTAATTCTCTGTCACCAAGAAAGCTTTTTACTCACTTTGATGCACGAGTCTCAGTTCGTTTGTCCTGCTACACGATATGAATCGTGATCATATCTCGCGACACCGACCCTCTCAGCGTCCAGAACGAGACGGTACCGATCGTTCTCGATCTGTATCGGTCACGCAGCGCCGTTCGCTCTCCCCTCTACCACTCCCTTCCAATGAGGCATGTCGTATCAGAGATGTGTCTTCCCATCGTCTCATGGAGGAATCATCGACAGCAGAATCATCGGTACAACCTCGCTCTTCTATAAGTGCTCGGTCACGCAGTTCAGCCTTTACAGAAGCAACAAGTGTGCGTTCATTGTATCGATCGAGATTGACCCCCCAAACATCCACTACTTCGTCAACACACCGATATGCCAGCCCAACATCGAGATCACTAGCACGACAGCGCTCTGTGGCGAGACATACTACACATACGCCTCCTCCCCGACCTTCCGTTCCATGCCAGACACACTCAGACTTCTCGATTGAGGGTGAGCAAGTCCGCGAATCGATCGGAATCACCAATGGTCGAGCCCATATCGATCAGTCAAGAGCTGCGTCGGCCCAGCAGCCGAATCTCTCATCCGCTTCACCGATCGACGTCCTCAAATTGATCGAAAACAACGAACAACTCTCGACGCTGTTGACTCAAGGATGCGGTAACAGACACGATCCCCATTCTGATCACAGATCAGAAGGCGTCGCCCTCCATGACCCAAGATACAAGGAGGCAGAGGTACAGTCAGGGAAGACCATCACCTCTTTGATCGCTGCTATCAACCTTGGAAAGAATCATTGGCACAGTTCATGGGATCCACTAGCTGAGGAGGCAGAAAAATCTGTTTCACCCTACGTCAGCGGGCCGATGCGAATTGGCATTGTAGGCGAGACTGGGCAAGGTAAGTCTTGCCTTATCGGAGGTCTGCTAGGCGACGAGGGTGTTGTCCAAACCGCAAAGAGTGGCGAGAGCATGACCAGAGTGATTATGGAGTACCATCACTGGATCGATCACGACTCACGTTTCAAATACCGCGCTATCATCTCTCTCCTCCCGTGGGAATCTGTACAGAAGCGGATCGAGACGTACTTCGAACACTGGAACCACGGGCTTTTGTCACATGAAGACGAGAGCGAGCATGAAGATGAAGAAGGAGATCAAAGCCCAGATCCCGCAGGCCCAGATTCTCCAGGGGCAGATACGGAAACAGCTACAGGGGTATTCCAAGCACTCTTCCGTGGAGACCCAAGTTTTGAGGACCAAGAGACCATGAAGGACTACCTGTTGAGCAGTGAACGGGCACCTGTGCGACATGATATACGAGATCGACTCATCATTCGCGCTCGCGACATGTATGATGAGCTTGATTGTCAGGATACAAACATATATAAACGAACCACCGCAGAGCTGTGGCATGAGCTTGCTCGATTCACGCATGGTCGCTAGGCCGATGACTCGAGAGGAGGTTGCGACGCTTGGCCCTTCGTCGAAGTTGTCAAAATCGGTGGCCCCTTTGCCCTGAGCGAGCACATTGTCATCGCCGACACGCCGGGTCGGAATGACTTGAATCGACTTGCGCGTGCCAGCGTGGACGACTACCTACCGTCTTGTTCGTCCGTCATAATAGCGTGCAACATTACTCGCATCATATCTGACGACAGCCTCCCCAATCAGATTGAGAAGATCCAGCATCACCGTCCCGTGACAGTAGTCGCTACATTCTCCGAGGTACGAGGAATCGATCTATCGGGACGCTCTTGCTGACTCCAAGATAGGACGTCGGCCTGATTCCCAGCAGGCACACTAAGCTCAGCCCAGGCGAGAAGCATACGTATATGAGTCTTCACGAGAAACTCAAACAGCTTGAGAACGAAGAGTTGAGCTCTTCCGCCGCTGAAGCTATACTACGCAACCAGTTGAGGCAAAAACATATCAAGAAAGCGTACGTGTAGTGCCTGAGGATTCGAGCAATAATGATACTGATTGGAACATAGCATTGCGCAATTGCTTGTTGAGGAACGCAGCCGGCGCGTGAAGGAAAGGCTTATGGCGGAAACACGGGGCAAAGGCCGTCCTCACGCAGTGTTTTGTGTGTCCGCTTTCGACTATCAGCGTAACATTAGGGGGATTGCTGCTCACGATTCCGCCCTTCTTCCTCTAAGCCCCAAGGATACGGAGATACCTGCATTGAAGCGACATCTCATCTCGTCATGCTCGCCCATGCGAGTAGAAGAGCTAGTCCGCTATGTGGGCGCAACATTACCAGGTCTCATGCTTAGCATGCAGATGGGGATCAACAAACGAACTGATGTGTTCCAAATCAAAATCGAAGGTGGCGTCGAAAATCTGAGTAGTGTAAGTGGTTTAGAGTGCCACGAAAGCCAAACTAATACCGTCCCAGACATGTGTAAAGAAGGTCCATCGATGCATCGATGATGTATTTGAGGATCGAATCGAAAAGCCCTTATTGGAGACCTTGCGTACGCAACTTCCTGCATACATTCGACATGCAGAGGAACTGTGCGATGTGTGGCTTCAGGTGGGATTTACAAACTTCTTACAAAGTACTTGCTAACGCTTCTAGTGGCATCATAATACGCACAAAGCATTTGTCAGCAACCTAGGTAATTGGAACCTTCTCATCTATAGAAAGTTGGACTGATGGCGTTCAAGGCAATTACAAAAAGCCTAGAAAGGGCAAGCCCAGTTGGAACCATCAGTTGCTCGAGCAGCACCGCATGAGTCTCAATCCGATCTTTCAAGACATCTATGAAGCTCGATGGAATATTGGCGAACTAGTGAAGCAAGAAATCGTGTTAGCAACAGGCAAACTAGCCAAGGACATTCGTAGTGAGTTGTTTATACAAAACCTGACTTCCTAGCTAACAACATGAAGAACAGTATCCAGAGGCTGGACCTGCTGAACTGAACCTACTTCTCGACAGCATCTACATCAAAGGTGCACTTATTACGGCGATGCAAAGCAAGTGCATTGGCGATCTGAGAAAGTTCATTGAGTAGGTGCTGAGCGAGCGGACACCCCATTTCATTTGCTGACTTCGACCGTAGAAAGCAGAGATTACGCTGTCTTACTGACACCGACGATATCTCCTACTTCGGGTACGCCATGATCGATGTATACACAGCGAGCAAAGAGATCAGGCGAGGGAACAAGAAGGAGGAGACACGAAAGGTCATGCAACATCGAACGTTCAAAAGACTGCTTCGCGACGAAGAGACAACGCCATACCACGCGATTCCTGTACAACTACAACAAGCCATCAACTCCCAAAAGCAGCTGATCAAGGAGTACTTGGAGGAGAAGATTGGGTCGTTATTCCAGGCCATCGGTAATGATCTGAAGCGATTGGGAGTGGAGCAGGCGAGCCTGAACCACGGCGAAGACCGCGAGGTTCGCAAGTCGATTGGCAGGACGCTTTCGAAGGCGAAGGAAGATCTTGGGACGATTGAGGCGTTGTTGAAGGAGAGCGGCGTTGATTGCGATGGTATCAAGGATCAGTTGACGTGACGATCTTTGTATGAATATGCATTAGATGTCTAACATCGGGTAATGAGATTCTATTGCTTTAGTTTTGTTGATATTCTTCCTCTCTAAAGTCAACTTCTGTATACTCACCGCACGAATCCACCTCCTATCGCGTCTAACAGTGAAGAATGTACCTAGACACTCTGATCTTCTACTCGCAAACCTATTAATTAACAGAGAATTGAACATCGTGTATGGGTCATGCTGCTCGTGTTTGGTCAGGTTTGCGTCTGCGCTGTTTCTTCGAGGATGCGCCAAGTATCCCCCGCGGGGATAGTGTGGCGTACTGGGGAGATGGTGTGGCGCGTGCTGGAGAGACAGTGTGGCGCATGGCATTCAGATCATCACGAGACGAGCGCGCAAACAAGAAGATGCATCATGGTCTGAAGCGACAGCTCCGTTTCGCAAACAGGGAAATAGGAGTCCGAGCTGTTACTTTCGTGTTGAAGAAAAGCAAAAGCGCAGCGGCACGCATGCTCCTATTTCGGGGCGGACTAGACCACGCTAGCCACCGGCGCTAACACCTCCCTGCATCAGCCACCCAGTTCTCCCAACCATCCCATCTCTCCAACATCGATATGACACACGCCTACATATGCGCGCTCGACTCGTATGTGGAGACGACAGATGCTACCTGGCCATGATAAAGTTCCGGGCCTGGGACCCGCTGTCAGGGTCTGGCTGCGCACGCTGCGCTACGGCAAGACACCCAGACCAATCGACCGCCGATGCGAATGTGAGGCTGTCACTTGGCGGCGGGATCCACCGCTACGCTTTTGCTACGTATGATGTGCTGGGGTCTGATTCAGATACCAGGTTTTCAGGGACTGGAGAGATGCATGCAGTGTGGCTTGCGACTAGCAGGCTCTTCAGATGTTGAGTTGAGTATCCTGGTTGCCATAACGAAGGCACTATGGAGACAGGATGCAATGGTGAGACTAGCAAGTCGGGTCTGCGTCTACTTTTCGCGCTATACCCATTCGCCTGTTAGGCGCGAGTGCGGTCGCGATCTATCTGCCTTTGCAGTTACATGCTCTTCATTCGTAATCTGACGACATCCAGCTGCTCACCAAGGCCTACCTAGGTAACCAACACAACAAGCCAGCAAAACAACCCCATCACAACTCCCGCTCAAACTCATGGCTCTGCAACATCGTCTCCCCCCGCCCATCTATACTAATCCTATGCAACCTCCCAACATTCTTCCCCAAATCCAACTCCACCAAACTATCCTTCCTCTGTCCTCTTCTCATCCGGGACGCAGAGCCCGTCATCTCCTGATCCACAATCTCCGTATCATCAGGCATAACCTCATCCTGCGGTACATCTTCAATCCGAAACAAAAGCTGGTATGCCGGCGCATCGTCCGGGCGGTTGGGATCCTTTGTATCCCGGAAAATCGTAATACTGGGAATATGTTTTAACCCCAATTCCGCCTTGTGTTGGAGCAGCATAAACGCTTTATTTGCGCCGACGGGTGTGCCTAGGAGTGCGAGATACTCCTCACTGGAATCGTCTACTTGGACACCTGGCCATTCCGGTACCTCTTTATAGCCCTTGCTTACGAGAATCCGGTTGACGACGGGTACGGTTTCGGCGTTGATGATGTTGCTGCCGAACCAGTATTTTAGGTTTTTGGGATTGGGGTTGCGCAGCCAGAAGGCGGCCATGATGTCGGAGGCTTGGCGGAGGAGAGGGAGTTGGTCCGCTGGGAAGCCTTCGGCGTAGGTGTCCATGGCGGCGGGCCAGGGGGCGAGGAAGTTGTGGCCGTAGATTGCTGGAGAGGGGGTTAGTGCGTGGTGGTGGTGGTGGTGGTGGTGGTGGTGGGAGGATGTCTTACCTCCTTGTTCAGCATTGAAAGCGAAGCGGTAATAAGCTCCAGTGGCCTACGTATAGTCAGCCAAACTGTCAATGTTCGGCGTATCTCTCTTCCTAGAATACTCACGCCATACTCTTTGTCGTCGTCGTCGTCAGGGAAGTAAGTCTGCATGTCTACCGGGAGCTCATAACCATCATCATCCACCGCGTCCTCTTCCATATGCTCGATAGAGTAACACTTGTTCTTGCCACCAAATTCCACCGGCTTGGTATTCAATCCGAGTTCATTCAGCGCAGCCTCTATTCTGTTGTTTATCTCTAAGTTTGCGAAGTCGTCCGAAAAGTCGCAGTTGATTTCCGGGTCATAGTAGGCTTCGTGCCAGTACCAATCCCTTAGCTCGGCTGGATGCATGTCAGTGTCAATGGCTGCGTAAGGATGATGATGGAATGGATAGAACCTGCCTTCAAGCGTTCCCTTCCACTGGCTTGCCGCTGATGGCGGATTACGATCCAGGTAGTTGGGCCAGTTTCGGCCGGCGACCTCGTCTGGCATTTCCATGAGGCAACGCAGCCAATTGCCTTTCTTCTTGTACTTGTCCCAGCTGGCATCGTTCGCGTATTCGGTGGGGTCGAAGTCCACAGCAGTCTGGACTAGATTCGGCTCGGAGGCGGAGGCTTTGTCGTTGGTAGATGGGATGCTCACTGCGCTATCGCGACGATCTAGAAGGCTTGGTGGGAAGGCTGTGCTGTTGGAGGAGCCAAAGGAATCTTCCACATGCTTGCTGTAGACCAGTGGTACACAGATCACGGTAAGAAGTAGTGTAGCAATCTTCATAGCTGATATGACACACGGATTTCGTTTCTCAGGGTATTGGCGTGAATTTGGTTGAGCATTGCATTACTCCAAGCGAGAGAAGTCAGGAGTAAACAATCCAAGCGCTTCGTCATAGTCGTGAGTGCGCCTAAACAAGTGGATACAAGCGTTGATAGGAAAGCATACGCGGCGAGTGGCGATTGTTTAGGATTGTAGAGTGCAGAGTGAATGCACACTCCGAAGGCGTCTTCAAACTTGCTCAACCCCATAACTAACCACCGCCGTTCTACCGCTCGTATCAAGACTCACCTGATGCAATCTCTGCACATTTCTCCTTGGATTAACCGCCTCCACCACACTATCCCTCCTCTTGAAGACATCCTCCTTGTTAATGTCCGGATGTAAATTGAAAACCACAACCCCCGTATCCATGTCGTCAGGCCTTAGAACATCCTCCGGAACGTCTTCAATACGAAAGAGCAATTGGATATCTGCCTGAAACGACGGATTCGCTTTGTAATCTCGAAAGATAGTGATATCGGTGATGCGCTTATCGCCGAGTGCGGCTTTGTGTTGAAGAAGGAGGTACGCGAGTGTTGCGCCTATGGGTGAGCCTGATATAGTGTTAGTAAGAATCAGGTTTTTGTTCTCAAGGCGTTGAAGATATGATATGTCGTAGTATCATGACCCAGGAAAAAAGAGACAGCGCCAACATACCAACCAAAACAGTCCCTTCTTCGCTATCCGCACTAACACGTACACCAGGCCACTCCGGTATCCTGTCATACCCACTCTCCTGCAGTACCTTGTTGATCAGCGGTAATGTCTCCTCATTGACCACATTGTTCGCGAAGTAATACTTCAAACCCTTCGGATTAGGCGTTCTTGACCAATAACCCGCTAGAATATCTGACGCGAACTGGAGACGGGGAAGTTCGTTGGGACGGGGCGTTTGGGCCCAGTTCTGCGTTGCAGCGTGGCGGGGTGCGTCGAGGGACTGGACGAAAAGCGCTCCTTGTTCTGCGTTGATGACGAAGCGGTAATGTCCTCCAGTAGCGGTGTACGTGTCCCGTCCCACGGCGTACATTTGGTCGTTGGCCGGTACATGCTCTCCATTCTCGTACCCTTCCTCAGGATCTAGGTGTTCAACTGAGTAGCCCTTGTTCTTTCCTCCTTCGGTAGCCGGTTTGGCGTTTAGGTCGAGTGCGGCAAGCGCGACGCCGATGCGGTTGTACCCATTACCATCATTAGTGAAATCGCAGTGATGGCCTTGGTGGTATTCGGCCTCGTGCCAGTTCCAGGTCGCGAGCTGCTCTGCGGATGAGGTAAGCAGAGGCTCGACGTTTTCGAAGAGAAGAGAGGAGGGGTGGATCCTAATGGCTTACCTTGCAGAGTGCCTTGCCATTCACTGCTTGCAGTGGTGGGTACCCGGTTCAAGGGGTCGGGCCATGCTTTGCCTGCTTCCGAGTCGGTCATATCCAGGAGACAATTGAGCCATCCGCCTTTTGTAGCGTATGTGCTCCATGTTTCCGCGTTGGCGATGTTGCTTGGATCATAGTTCGTACGAGGGCGGACGGGGTTCAATCGTGGAGTGCTGTGAAGAGTGGAATCGCCAAATGGTACTTCGATGAGAGTGCTACATACGAGACTCGCGAGACCCGCGATGCTCTGGAACGATCTCATGGATTTGGTATCTTGACGTTGATCAAGTCATGAGTCTTCCAGTCCAACATGTTATCTCGGGTGGACATAGCAGCGAGCGGTGGGCACGCGCCGCGAACCGTTTTGGGATAGAATTGACAGTGAAAGAATGCGCATCAAGTGTATTGCGTAACTAGCAAAAAGTAAACAAGGCGGATTCTGAAAAGTAGTAAGTGTAGTACTTCACGCACTGCCCAGAAATCGCACGCCCATATAAACTGGTCTAGGATTGGACATCACCATATCTCTCCCCTGAATCTCAATGGAGTAAAAGTCAACACTACTCAGGTTCTACAGGTGCGACAAACATTCAGAGAGGGGCAATGAGAGCTTGAAACAGAAGAGATGCAAGATCAAAGAAAGGAGACGGGACGAAAGAAGATTCGACATGTACCAGAGGTTGCAGAAACAGCGAACCATTGACCAAAATAGATGAAGAAGACGAATATAACTTCTCGACTGGATAGCCGCCAACTCAAAATAGCAGTCCAAGGTAATCTGTTCAACTCACCATAACAAATCTACATGCAGCCTTCATTCCCTCCCGATGCCTACCCCCTTTCCCACATATCAACTCACCCTTACCCATAAGACGCAAGCTTACCAACACCATAAGGCTGAGTACCACATCGCCGTCTCAAGCATTCCAGAACAATGTTGGTCAGACCGGCTCATCTCACGCCGTCCTCTACCCGGCGCCTTGGTTTACGGGATGCCGGTCGCACAATACTGCATGCTTGCTTTTACCCGAAGCACGCCGAACCAAAAATAAGCAAGCAACCAAGTTACGTTACTCAGCGCGATGGCGCTGTATCGTGGATGTGCGCGCGCGTCGCGGGAACACATGCTCGACTATGCTTAGGTGTACCGGAGTGAGCGTGCTGACTGCGCGGTGGAAAGGTTGGGTTACTAAGGGTGGGGATGAGTGGTGATGCAGGAGAGATAAGAGCGACCGTCGCCTCTACCACGCATCCTACACATGTTCGGCCATGCTAGGTGTACCGATGTTCGCGTGCTGACTGTGTTGCGGAGTCGAGCAAGGCTTGTGGTATGTTGCGCGCGTGAGACGGGCCGTAGTCTGCTTGGTGTATGGATGGGCCGCGCGGAGCGTCGCGGAACGACTGTATCAGCGCAACAGCTGAGGTCAGTCGTTGGTGTTGAGCAGCGAGCCGGAAGAGTTGCGTGCAGTAATGGTGACCGCTTCATGTCATCATGGAATGGTAGTTTGACCAGTAAGGCTCGCTCACTAGGCGGTGGTGTGAGGGAATCCTGGATATTGGTACCGCGAGGGAGATGCCGTATTTGGTGTCATGCCCATGTCTATCGAGAACCCGAGTCCTGGGTTCATGCCACATGGAAGGCGTAATCGTACGAATGCAGTAGCTCTGCCGTAAACCTGCAACCGGTGCAATTGGGCTGACCGGGGGAATGGGGAATAAGGAAAGCTGCCGACACGATGATTGGGGACGCGACGGGTAACGCATGCAGCCAAAACCATCGCAATTGGAACGCCATTCCCATCCAAAGTACAAAGAGGAGTAATTCGAAACTAGAGTTTGGCGTTACTGGGAGGCTGCAGCCGGCGCATTCTTTTGGGATATCGGAGGAACAAGAAAGTGTATCGATAGTGGCAGGTTATCCATCGTGTTCCGGAAGCGTACATGTGCATCGCGCATGTGGAACGGCATCGTGTGTCTGAGGAGAGCTGATGTCACTGAAATTTTCCTAGTGTGCATCGAAGAACTCTGTTGCAGTCGATACAAAGCTGAGGAAGGTTTCTCTTTGTGCAGCGTACCTTGAACCTACCTGGTAGTGCTGACTGCACACGTGGACATGTCGGCGAAGAGCAGAGGAACTGGTGTTCGGCAGCTGCAGTCAGCCTCGGATGCTAGCATATTGGAGGGCAGCCAGATGACGCACGAGGCCTGGCGTAGCGAGCTTCAAGACGGCGCACAAGAGTACCGGAGCAGCGGAATGATGCGAAAAGGTACATACTTCCGGATCGACGGCGGAAATTTTTCTGGTGCGACAATCATTGAGTCGCGAGAAATGTCGCGGGGCTGGCACGCGGAATTGCTCAGGGAACACGATCGGGGGAGAGGCGGCCTCGGACTGTGTAGCCCAAAGAGTAGTGATTTGGGCGCCAGCGCAAGGAGATCATCAGGGACGAGTGATGGGCTACGTGGATGTGAAGTCATCCTTGTTGATCGCTTTCACGCTGGCGTCCGGGGAGCTCTGCGACAAATCCGAGATGAAGCAGGTCTTTCAGCAGTGGCCTCGCAATAACCCGGCGCAACGTCTTGCCTGCTTGGACGTTCAAAGGTAGTTCCTACGTTACACTGTAAGGCCCGAATAGAGCTACGTGAAACGCTATGAAATGCGACGCTCGAAAGCTGAATTGCCTTGTGTAGATGGCTCCGCCGGCTAATGGTACCGAATCCCCAGCCAGTACCTGTCAACATGACAGCTAGTGCGACGGTGCTCATGGAACTCTCCTTCTGCAGCAGCGCAAAGTTCGTACAGCGCACACTTGGCCTTGAGTCGGCATGAATGCGCTGGTACATCGGCGAAGCGGCTCGCGGGCCCTCTTCCAGTAGTCAGGCGAAGGTCCACACAGAGCAGAATTCCACGTGTGGACAGGGTTCTCTTTGTACGCGATGATCCTTTTGGAGATGACAACCCTTGCTTCGCTTCTCATCGCTGGGACTGGCACGCAGATTGCAGTAGCGCGCTCAAAGAGGAAGTGCCAAAAGCCGTTCCAGGACCCACTTTCCCTCCTCCCCGCAAGGTCTAACTCACGATCACAATTTCGACAAAGTTTTCTGTGGAGAAATCCGTCAAACACCTGTCAAATTGCAAGGCGGTCGGAATTGACAGCGATGCTGCCAGTAAAACGTCGGTGGCTTGGACGGACGTTGAGAGGATGATGACCTGACGGAGTTCAGACCCTGTCGATGTGTGACGACGCTGCACTGGTTATCGGATGATGGCTGTGAATCACGATCGCGAGGATAGAGTTGAGCGAGCATGGACTGAAGATCGCGAACGCTGTTTGAGCCCTCAACGCTCCCGCACTGATAGGCGTGAGGCTGTGGCAGCCCAACGTACGACGGGCGCAGGTATCAGCGGAAGACAGCGATCTCTCAGTACAGTACTGTACACAAGACGGTATGAGCAAACACGCTGGTCGAGCGCTGGGCGGTGTCGCGTGGCTTTCGGCATGTCTCTGCGTGAGGCTAGTGGATAAGGACGGGATGCCCTTGTCGCGCGTCTCAGCCTGATTGTGAAGCACACGACCCCTGTCGATACCCAGGACGGCGAATCAGGGTTGGTGCTGCTTGCGAATTATATTATTGGACTGGCATAACGGCTGCATTCTGGCAAATGTGTTTACGATGGACGGCGGGCTGTAATACGGAGGAATCCCAAGGGGGCAAGAGCGATGTCATCGTTCCTTCCGTGCCAGAAACAATTCGTCATGGCGACGGCTGGGCTCCGTGGTGGGTGAGCGAGTGCGTCAACGAGGCTGCGACGTGTAGGTTTTTTGGAGAAGCAAGCGATTGTGCGCGAAACCTTGCTGGTCATGATCCCGGGACGTCGAACGCATGCAGCATCCGTGTGCTTGGAGGCGCGGAAGGCTTGCAGTGATCCGCGAATGCGACGTGTCTGAGAACGACCGGCGGCCAAATTTCTTGGTCGTGAATAAGTGCGCATTCTGTGTCAGTTTGTCTGCGATGATCAGGGACAGCCTGGGAGTGAGGGCGACTCAGCGGGCGATTCATTCTTCCTTCCAGAGGCTTTCCAGAACAAACCGCAGGCGAGATTTTCGTGGCGCCGGGCCCACTCACCGCAAGCCGGGCAACGCTCTCATTACGGCACCTGGCGATGCTGCTGGCGAATTGCTTTGGCGGCCGTGGTGCAGAGGCATAGTTGTTTGCACGCCGCAGATGTGATGGTGGTGCTGGGCTGCGGCGAGGGCAGCTCCTTCCTCATCGCCACGCACGCGAGGGTTGGTTGAGGCAGGAGCAGCCCATCCCACGTGGCGCAACCCCGTCACAAGCAACGACGCGGAAGCAAAGGCTCCAAGACAGCTACGGTTCATCAAACCACAAAAGCAAGCTGCTATGAACATGTCCCGTCAAACATCAGCCGCCACGGTCAAAGGCAAGTGCACTGCGATCCCGACAGCCAGTAACCCGGTTGGCTGGGAGGCATGGAGGGCAGACAGGGCTGCCAGAGAGGTGATTCAGCATAGGCAGTGGACCGGCCGGGGAAGGACATCCGGAAGTCTGTGTGGCGTCTCTGAACCTTCTCTTCTTGCTTCTGGCGCAGTCCAACAAACGCGGCACGAGTCGACGCCGCCGGTCAAAGCAGCGAGACGGGAGCGCTGACACTGTCTCATCTAAGCCGCCGTGTCTGGAAGCGCGCGGCGACAGCCAGACAAAATGCGATAGGGCCGCGAGCCCAAGTGAGAGCGCTGGGAGTCGCGCCTGAGAATCGCCTCCATGGTACGCCATGTTACGCCATGTTACGGTGAAAAGGCACTGAAGCGTCAGCACAAGCACACCCTTCGCAGGTTGGCACCCCAGCGAAGCCGTTGGCATGGCTCTCGTTAGCGCCTGCAGGTACGGCTTTCTAGCGCGGCACTATCCAAGGGGGATAACCAGCTTGGTGGTAACAGTGCGCAGATCACCCTGGCTCCTGATGATGGCAAGGGAGCCTACCTTGAAACAGGCCGAAAGACCCGTCGCTCCCGATGCGCAATGTAGTCAGGG